CTTCCTTTCTTCCTCTCTTTCCTTCCTTCTACTGCCCCCTCCCTTCCTTCTTTCTTTCCTTTCTTCCCTTTTCTTTCTTTCTTTCTTCGTTCCTTCCTTCCTTTCTTTCTTTTTCTTCCCTTCCTTCTTTTCTTCTTCCTTCCTTCCCTCTCTCCCTTTCTTTCTTTCTTTCTTTCTTTCTTTCTTTCTTTCTTTCTTTCTGTTTCTCTTCCTTTCTTTCTCTTTCCTCCCTTCTTCTTTCCTTTCTTTTCCTTTCTCTTTTATTCTTCCTCCTTCCCTCCCTCCCTTCCTTTCTTCCTCTCTTTCTTTCTTTCCTTCTCTCTTTCTCTTCTCTCTCTTTCTGTTTCTTCCTTTTTTCTCTCTTTCTCTTCTTCCCCTTTTCTTTCTTAGTCTTTCTTTTCCTTTTTCTCTTTCTTCCTTTCTCCTTCTTTTTCACAAACGGCTAAAACGGGCCTTAAATTACAAGAGTGCATGATAATTGGAAAGGAAGCAATTCCCTTGCAATTACGGCAAATGAAACTGCCATGCAAGAGGTTGCAAGTCCTGCAGACTCCGGGAGCCAACAGAGAGAAGACCTTTGCAAATCTTTATTATTTGATCTGATTTGTAGACATTTGGCCTACACCCACGTTTCCCAACCGTAGCAACTCTTAAGCATTGCTGGCTGGGGAATTCTGGGATTTTGTTTCCCTTGTCTTGAAGTTGCCAAGGTTGAAAACCACTGGCTTATACTTCAGAGCCTCCTGGTTATTCAGAGAGAGAGAGAGAGAGAGAGAGAGAGAGAGAGAGAGAAAGACAGGGGGAGAAAATAATCGAAGTACAACCGTTGCCAAAAGCTAATTAAATGCTGAGCAGAAAAGTTCTTCAACCCGCACTTGGAGGCCAAGAGTTGAAGACATCCTGTGTCCCAGGGGACAAAGAGCTCGGCCTTGCTTAAGACAGGCTGAAGATTCTCAAAATTCTCCCCCGCTTGGAGATTGCTTGGCTTGGACTGAATGGCCCTCTACCCCATGCAGTGGCGGGATTCATAAATGTTTACCCCCAGTTCTGTGGGCGGGCTTGGTGGGCGTGGCAGGGGAAGGATATACTGCAGAATCCCTCTTCCCTCCCCACCCCGCTAACCTGCTTTCCAGCTCCGTTCTCCTGTGCAGGGCAACCAAAGGAGACCCAGCCGATCAGCCGGGTTACTCGATGGGAGGCAGAGAAGAGATGGGGTTGGTGGGGCCAGTCAGAGGCGGTATTGGCCGGTTCTCCGAACGACTCAAAATTTCCGCTTTTGGTTCTCCAGAACTGGTCAGAACTGGCTGAATACCACTTCTGCCAGGGAGGGGCTACAGGGCTAAATTTGCTCCTCGTGGTTGGTGAATGAGTTGATGCATTTACTACCAGTTGAAGCTCTGGAGTCTTCTTCCAAGGAAATTCACGTCAAGTGTCTCAAAGGTGCTTTTTCAATAGAATAGAAAAGGAGGAGGAGGAGGAGGAGGAGGAGGAGGAGGAGGAGGAATAGAATAGGATAGAGTAGAGTAGAGTAGAGTAGAATAGAATAGAATAGAATAGAATAGAATAGAATAGAATAGAATAGAATAGAATAGAATAGAATAGAATCGGAAAGGGACCTTGGAGGTCTTCTAGTCCAACCCCTTGCTTAGGCCTGAAACCCTCTACCATTTCAGACAAATAGTTGTCTGATATCTTAAAAACTTCCAGCGTTGGAGTGTCAGCTGCTTTAAAGGGGAATGTGATCCCATCCAGTCCATGACAACTTCTGGTGGCAAGCTGTTCCACTGGTTAATTGTCCTCCCTGCTAGGAAGTTTCTGCTTAATTCCAGGTTGCTGGATTAGTTTCCACCCGTTGCTTCTTCTCCTGCCCTCAACTGCTTTGGAGAATAGCTTGACTGCCTCTTCTTTGGGGCAGCCCCTGAGATATGGGAATCACCCCAGTCCTTCTTTTCATTAAAGTAGACATACTCAGTTCCTGCAATCGTTCTTCATATGTTTTAGCCTCCCAGTCCCCTAAAAATAATCCCCTAATGATGTCAGAACTACCAGTCAGAGTGGGCGATAGCCCCTCTTGGTTACAACATCCACAAACTGGATCAGCTGCTCTAAAGGGGAATGTGATCCCATCCAGTCCATGAGAGCTGCTCCGAGATATAAGTGCTTACAGGAGGTCGCCCTGGCCAAAAACAGGGTCCTGGGGGACCGCACACAGCTCCCCCCAGTTCCATTTTTGCTGACAGAGAGCCATATCCACCCCAGACTGGCCATGCACCCCCAGTCTCCCACCCCCGAGGTCAAACATAACCATGATATGGCCCTGTTGTTGTGATGACTTGGGGTGTGACACAAAAATAACCAAGCCACAAAAATAGAAGAAAGTCCCTTTAATGCCTCCAACTTGGCCCCAATGTCCAATTAGCCTCGGCAGTGTTGTGTAGTCGAAGGCACACATGAGGCAGACACGGAGCTGAAGGCTAACAACGATTTATTTAAGCATAGCAGGTTGCCGCGGCTGCCCTGGCTGGGCAGGCAGTCCGAGCAGGGAGAGCTTCTCTGGCTGGGCAGGCAGTCAGGAAGGCGATAGCTGCCTCGGCTGGGCAGGCAGTCCGGGAGGCGATAGCTGCCTTGGCTGGGCAGGCAGTCCGTGAGCCGATAGCTGCCTCGGCTGGGCAGGCAGCCCGGATGGTGAGAACTGCCCCGGCCGGGCAGGCAGCCCGGAGGGTGAGAACTGCCCCGGCCGGGCAGGCAGCCCGGAGGGCAGGAGCTCTTGCGAGCGCTGCTCCGTTGGTCCGCTCTCCGCTCGCTCGCTTCGCTTGGCTGGCTCTGCTCGACAGCCGGCTTTTATAGCCGACTGTCAAACGGAGCCAACCAATGGGAACGGCTGGTGTTCCCGCTCAAACAGCGGACCTGGTTGGGAAACCCCAACCAGTTCCAAAGACATAACGGAAACTGTCAGGGACACAACACCCCTTCCCCCTTAGCTAGGGACATGGCAGCCCAGGCTGGGGGCTGTGGTTAGGCAGGGACACAACAGGCAGGATATCAAAGTCTTAAAGAAAACAGTTTACTGAGGGAGAAAAAGCAGTCTGCACCCAAAGTAAAGTTAATTCGAAATTTTTAAAAAACCAACAGAACACACTGAAGGAATTACTACAGCAGGCAAGGATGATTAATTGCAGACTTCTACCAGATAACGCAGCAACCACAGTTGGGAGGAAGCCAAAACACAGATAAGCTCTGAGACAAGAATGCATGCTTTGCTTCCCGCAACTTTGCCATGTGCAGTTTGTCCTTTAAACCAGTCCGCCCAGCTGCAGCCCATGAAGGGGATCAGGGCCGCTTCCTCCGCCGTGGACCACGCCACTCACATTTCTCCCTTATCTGCTCTTTCCTGCGTGCCCTAGGTTGAAGAGGGGATGGGCCTGGGTCTTCCTCTGAATGCCCATCCGGCCTCTGCCCTTCCCCGGTTTCCTCCACAATCACCGGAGCCACACTCCCCATTCCCTGACAGCTGTTCCATCTCTCCTTCAGAGTCAGACTCCCAACAGGGGCGTGATAGTTGTAAGTCAAGGACAACCTGTATTTGCCACAAAGGAATGACACGGTTGCTTCATGCCTTTAAAAAAACCCGTCGGTGTGTCATGCTCTGTCCTCCTTTGCCTGCCGACCAAGGATGGGGAAACAAAAAAAAAGAATTTGCTCACTGCCACCATCTTTCCTACTTTCAGACATTGATGAGTGCGAGACCCCGGGAATTTGCATGAATGGCTGGTGCATCAACACCGAGGGCTCCTTCCGTTGCGAGTGCCTGGGAGGGCTGGCCATCGGCGTGGACGGGCGGGTCTGCGTGGATACCCACGTTCGCAGCACCTGCTACGGTGGCATCAAGAAGGGCACCTGCGCCCGCCCCTTCCCGGGAGCCGTCACCAAATCCGAGTGTTGCTGTGCCAATCCGGACCATGGTTTTGGGGAGCCGTGCCAGCCTTGCCCTGCCAAGAACTCCGGTGAGTCCCACTTCAGAGATGGGTCTCATTAGGGGATCCCAGATTTTTTTAAAATATAATTTTATACATATTTATCAATACATTTATTTATATATTTTTCTCTGGCGTATGTCAGCGCTTAATAAACACTGTATCGTCTGAGTCAATTTACATATACATAATAATAGTAATAAAAATATTTACTTATATATAATGGTATTCTTACAACTTCTAATCTCTGCTTTTATTATTTAGCCATTGGTAAAATAAAAAAAATCCCAGGTTAAAACATATCCTGTATCTTTTTCATCCTTTATCTTTTACTAGCTCTAAACCCGTGTGCTTCGCTAAGAAACTATGTAGTCGGGCTTAGTTTTGGGGGAGGAAAATAAGGGGGGAAAAATTTGTGCCTCTGCCTACCAGCATCCATTGGTATTCATCTGGCGAGCATCCTGTCAGGGTGCGAGAGAGTTGAGGGCTGTTTGGAAACTGAAACAGTATTTGCTGTGTGAGCAAGAAGGAGACAGCAAGGAGCCTGGGCGTGGCTTAGCTCAACTGTTCTGTCCTAAAGCTGCTTGGTGCTCTGAAACTGAAACTCCTCTCCTCTGCTTGTGTTTTGCATTGGGAAGAGATTTCTTTTCAGGTGGGCAGGGGGAGTAGAACTCCTTAGCGTCAGAGCATGTTAATAACAATAATAATATAGGAAATACGAATGCTCTGATGGTCATTTTGAAAAATCCTTTCTTAGTGAGCCCCTAGAAGCCAAGAGGAACATACGGGCCAAATTTCAAGTTTGTAAGCTTTATGGTTCTGGAGATTGTGTGATGATGCATGAGTGGTATACACACACACACACACACACACACACACACACACACAGCTCAAAAAAATAAAGGGAACACTTAAACAATACAATGGAACTCCAAGTCAATCACACTTCTGTGAAATCAAACTGTCCACTTAGGTAGCAACACTGATTGACAATCCATTTCACATGCTGTTGTGCAAATGGAATAGACAACAGGTAGAAAGCATAGGCCATTAGCAAGACATCCTCAATAAAGGAGTGGTTCTGCAGGTGTCACAACATGTAATATTCAATATAGATTCCCTTTGTCATATTTTTTTTCTTAATTCTTTGGAGAGAGGAAGAGATGTTACCTGGAAAAATGAATTTCCTGGTATTTTCTGTGTTGCTCACAACCATTATGGATTGGCTGGTCATTCCTACATGTTAATCAGAGGTGGTATTCAGCCATTTGGGACTGGTTCTGGTATACCAGTAGCGGAAATTTTGACCAATTCAGAGAATTGGCAAATATCACCTCTGGTTGGCCCCACCCATCCACTCCTGCTCTTTTCCATTCTTTATTCCATTGATTTTTTAGCTCAGCTGATTTGTGCGGATTGCCGTGCCTCAGCTGAGTTAAAAAAAAAAACAGCTTTTGAGTCCTGTGAAAGGGTGATCTTTGAGAGCTGCACATGTATGCGAACCAGTCGCACACAATTTGGAATCCTACCACTGATGTAAACGTGTCTTGTTCTCCTAGTGTCCATTTTGGGGTCCGGGGAGAGGCACGTGCAAGGGAAACTTTATCCCCCCTGAATGTAAGAAACCAGATCATACTTGGCTGAGGGAAAGGAAAATGACTGATTACACTGAGTTTTTTTTAAAAAAAATCAGCTTTCTTTGGATGTCCCAGGCAAGGTGTTTTTTTTTCCCTCTCTGAAGTCTTCCTTAAAATGGCCTTGTGATCTTCCTGCATGTTTGAAGTCCTTCCAGGAAAAGCTGCGTAGGCGAGGAAGCCTCAGGGTGAGCTTGTCCACCTGGAGCCATGGGGAAAAGGACAGATTAACAGAGTTGGAAGGGACCTTGTAGGTCAGCTAGTCCGACACCCCTCCCGCCCAAGCAAAAGTCCCTACAGCAGGGATCAGTGGTGGGACTCCAACTTTTTTCCTAACGTTTCTACGAGAGTATGCTTCACGCACGCTCGCAGTGCTCAAAAACCGCCCTCTGGGTCAGCACTGGTGAGCTGAGCTGTTTTTTAGCTCAGCTGAGGCAAGGCAATCTGCTCTGCCATGCAAATCAGCTGAGGTAAAAAACAAGGGAATATAGGAGCTGAGGTAAAAAACAA